ATTTTGAACTGATTCCAATGTTGCAATGATAGTATTATGACCAGGGTCCCAGATAGAACATGCATATTCAAGTTTAGTACGTACTAAAGTAGTATATAAAAGGAGTTTTAGTGACACTGGTGACTGTGAAAATTTTCGTTTGAGATATCCAAGCATGCGATTGGCGTTGTTAGTTACGTAGTCAGTGTGAGTTTCCCAGGAAAGGTCAGAAGTTATGTAAACACCTAAGTATTTGTAAGAGGACACAGACTGGAGCGGAGTGTCGTCAATGTAGTAATTCGAGCATATGTTAGTATGACGGGAAACTCTCATGGATTTACATTTATTAAGATTGAGTTGCATCAATCACTTGTCGCACCAGTTAGATACAAAGTTAAGATCAGATTGGAGAACAGAGATGTCAGAGTTATCAGTTATTTCTCTATACAGTACACAATCATCAGCAAATAAACTAATATTGGAGGAGATACATTCAGACAGATCATTAATATAGATGAGGAAAAGTAGCGGACCTAAAACAGAACCCTGGGGAACTCCAGATGCTACGGGAGAAAGTGAAGAGTTAGTACCATTGGGGCATGCACAAATTGAGAACGGTTGGTTAAAAAAGATTCTATCCAGCGTAGCACGTTCGGATCAATGTTGAGTTTGCTAAGTTTTAATAGGAGTAGCCGGTGAGAAACTTTATCGAAGGCCTTAGAGAAATCAAGGAAAATGCAGTCTATCTGGGAGCCACGGTCAAGGACAGAATGAAGCTTATTAGTGAAGAGCAGAAGCTGTGTTTCATTGATTAACAAAATACTTAACACATTTTGAAAAAAAAAAAAAAAAACGAGTTTGAGGTGAGTTGTAGCTAACTTTTGTCCTGTGAGATTGAATATCACAACCAATTGACGCAAACGTATCACCAGACGCGAGTAAAAAAAAAAAAAAAAAGAAAACAATCACTGGGGCTGAGTTCGAAATCTTACCCAAATGCATCCGAGTTACTCCGGCGGATCGTATCACGTCACAGCGCATATTTAAAAACGCTGGACGCGGGTGGGTTTTAGAACACCAAGGGGACAAAACCCTTACCCTGGAGTAAGATCGAGCATATTTTGGAACACGGCCTGGGTTTCTTATCGTCGTATGTCCAAGCATAAAAAGAATTCATACCGGATAGCTCTTCGCCGATGCAAAATGACAACGGTGAAGTCTTTCTCCATTTAACTTCGAATGTATTTCGGGAGAATATGAGTGCTACCAGGAGGTTTCAACTGCCTTGCGGTTGCCGCTTGTGAGGGAAGGCGTGCAGCGTTTATGACTGCTCGGGCAAGGCTTGCGGAAGGCGCGTAAATGTTGACATGTAAATACGTCACGATTACCTCCTCCCACCGAACGCGCCGGAAAGGAGGGGTTTCGGCGCTATTTTCAAAAGGATGCGGTGCAGCGCACCCACCTGAAAGATAAATGTGATATTCGTAATGTCGGAAGCCAAATGAACATGATTTAAGTGTTGTTGTTTTCTTTCCTCAAATACAAAACTGCTTTTGTTATCATTTAACAAACCTGCATAAACCTTCAAATAAACTCCGTTGTAAAGAGTCGCAAGTGTATACACTAGTTTTCAAAGGTCGGCGGTGGCGACGCTCCCTAAAACTCTAAAAACAGAAGTCCCTCTAAAAACAGAAGTCCCTCAGAAAAAAAAAAAAAGGGGGGGGGGGGGGGTGGCCAGTTCAATCTCTGCAGAAGGGCGGCCGCTGAACCGAATGCGGGAGTGCCGGCGGCGGGGGTCCGTTTTTGAAGCACGCCATCAGGCTCGACCATCGATCTGCGGGAAAACTGGGCCGTCCCATGCCTTGGGCTGCTAAGCAGGCGGTAGCTGCCCAGCGGCCGCCCAGCACTTCCCCTGCTCTCCCTTCCTCCTCCCCTTCCCCTCTCCCGGTATGACTGCCGGGCCACCCCCGCCCCCCAAACCAGAAGCACTGTAACTACAGAGTGTGCGCAAGAAAGACGCGCGGAACGTTTACGCTTCACGTGTAGGTAAAGCAGGCATCGCAGACAGCTGAAAACCAGGGTGAAGGTGATATTTAGTGAAGGCTGCGGAGTGGGAAAGTTTCAGGCGATAACGTTGTTCGATCTAAAAGTTGGATGCGATCTGTGAAACTTACCGTAGAGGTGGCGACTTCCTCCTCTGGCAGCGGATGTTGCTTTTCACTTTGTATTTCGTGTTCCCTGCATGACTTTGCAGGACGTACTAACATAGCATATAAACACTTCGTCTCTTTTTCATTCTTTCAGTTGACAGAGGTGAAGTTCCCGTTTTCCTTCTCATCCTATAATATTATCGCTCAACTCGGGTTAATTGAGCCTGAAAAAAAAAGTTAATTTTTGCACGTTTTGTCTTCTGCGAAGCATTTGACAGGCGCACTCTACGCCTCGTAACGTTCTCATTGAAAGTAGGACATTGCAAAGAACGTTGTCGTTGGAAAGTAGGACAGTAAACGCATAATTAAAATAGCGCAAACGAACACAAGGACGCGTAAAAGAAGGGACACAGGCACTGGGCTGATTCACGACTTACTCTCCTTTGTCGTATTCTTAAAACACATAAACAAAAGAAGACACAGAAAACAAAAGGAAAAATTCTACGTGTAGAACATCTTCACTGTCATGTGCCATTTGAAAAATTTAGAAAGTACCATTAGGAAAAACAAATAAAAAAGGAAATGAAATGGAAGGGAAATAAATAACTATACATCGTTCCACCTCAGGGCCCGTTTTCTCGAACGCGAACCGTGGTTTAAAGTTAACTATTGTCCCTAGAAGAGGGAATTCTAGGTCACGTGACTGGAAGAGCAGGGGCGCCGAGGGAAAAGCAGTACCTACAAGCAAAATGGCCACGACGTCGCTTAATGAGGGCTAATAGTTCTGCTTGGTTCTGCTGAACATTCATTTCGATCCGGCTGTTATATTAATGACGCACCATCAGCCCATTAGCACGTCAAGCAAAGCGGTAGTTCAGAGAGACTACTAAACTAACCGACGGCAGCATTCCGCGAACGCATCACTCTTCAGCAGTCTGGGTTCCAAGACATATGACGGTACATAATCCTTGCAAGTGTTTTTATGGTGAGTAAAAAAATGTTTTGCGAACGAGTGTTGGTATATATTTATACTAACACGTTTAATTTGTTACACTATGCACGCCAAATCGTGAGCAGCGATTACTTTGCGAAGAAAGGGGGTTATCCTCGATAAAGTCTTCGTTCCGGGTGAACAACTGGGAGATTGTACTGCTTTTTTGTTCGCAGTGCGCCGACAGTATGCCGACAGCATCGAGGTTTCTATACTTCGTTTCATCTTCGGTCCAGACGCAGCCAAAGCTACAAGCGCGAGCTCCGGGCTTTCAGCATCCCTGCCAAGCACGCGCGCTCGTGCAGTGCTAGCTCTGTTCTGGGCCAGATGCTCGCGCTTGTAGCATCGGCTGCGTCTGGACCGAAGCTGAAACGAAGTATACATATCCCCGGTGGCCAGCAATTCAACGGTGACGTGAAGCTTAGCTCCTCGTCACCGGTGGATCTGTTGGGCAAAAGGAAAATAGGGCAAACAGTTGAGATCACCAGGAATCAAAGAAACGTGCGTCGCAAGGAACAAATACGAGACTACAGCACCGGCGTTGCCAGACTGGAAGGCACACGGGAAAGTTATGCGTTGTTTATGGCGAAACATATTGAAGGAAATGTTTCTTACATTTTCGAATATTCGTCGCCAAACCCTAGCATAGTAGCTAAAATTTCTTCGTACCATCTGAAGCAAATAAATGGGTCTTCAAGTGCAATATTACTATATTTTGACTTAAAATACCATACTAGATCGATAACAACCAGCGGAAAAAGAGGATAAACTAAATGACTGACTTGTTTCGTCGATAGATGACGTATCTTACTGCCCAATCAAAAATAATTATTGTTCTATATCCAGCCGTTTATTACAGTACCTAGGTACTTTTTCCTTCCTAGGCACCGTGGTTTACCAAAATGGGTTTACCATCGCTTCGGGAAAACCGGCTCAGATCTGCACGAAGCCAAAACCACAACGCGAGTCCTAGTGCTCTGTCCGAACCGGTCTCGCACGCGGCCTCGGGGTGTGTGGCCACCATTTTTAGGCTGCATGTACGCGCTTGTAGCCATTGGATCGCTCCCACGGAGGATGAAACAAAGTATTAAACGAACGTGCCCAAACTCCGAACAACCTTCGGGTCACCTAGCCGTTCACTGCGATAGGTGTGGCTGTTCACCTCGGTTAGGTAACATTGCAATTTTGGCTAAACATTCACAAGGAATGGCTAGGGAAATTCATGAATCATTTTACATTCGGCAACACGGTCCCGATCTATGCGTAAGTTCAGAGTGACTTACACTGTCTGGTGAAGGGTTCGAGTTTGTTCGGAGTTTGGGTACGTTGGTTTAATACTTTGTTTAAGCCTCCGTGGGAGCGATCCTATGGCTACAAGCGCATGCATTCAGCCAAAAAATGGAGCCCACACACCACGAGCCCGCGTGCGAGACAGGTACGCCCAGAGCAGTAGGGCTCGCGCCGTGGTTTTGGCTTCGCTCAGACCTGAGGTGGAAAGATGTATAGTTATTTGTTTCTCTACCATTTAATTAACTTTTTATTTGTTTTTTCAATGGTGCTTTCTGTTAGAAATTTTTCGTATGGCACATGACAGTGAAGATGTCCTACTAGTGTAAATCTTCTTTTTTTTTCTCTCTCTTCTTTTTATCTTTCTGTGCTTTCTTATGTTGATGTTTTTAAGGAGACGAAAAAGAGAGTAAGTCGTGAGTCAGCGCCGTGTCTGTGTCACTTCTTCTACTCGCCCTTGTGTTCGTTTGCGCTGTTTTATTTATGTTTGCTATGCACCACCGACTAGCGCACCATCAAAGATTACTAGGAAAGTAGGACATTGCGAAGAAAGAGCTCTAGGATGACGCAATGTTCTCCCGGCCTTCGTGCAGCCAACCACCCAAACATGTCGGCGACCTGCACGGCGGGCGCCTCCCAGTCCGTTCCCGTGAGGACGGCCTTCCTGTCACTGCCCACGCTGGTGTCCTTCGTCGCCGCCGCCAAGGCGCTGCTGTTTTACCCTAGGCTATGGTGCTAACTACTGCCCCGACGTACGCCGCACCCGAAGGCACCCCGTCGCCACACGACCAGCGAGCAGACCACCTCCAGCGCCACCTGGACGGCCCTGGGGCCCGCTGGCGGTGCTGCGCCTCAAGGGTGGTCCGCCGACGCTGAAGTGCACCGCCGTCTCGAGAGTCTCCTGGCCGTAGTAGAAGGATGCACCGGACGATGTACCGGAAGGACGTAACCCAGGGTGTGCGGAACGTCCCCATCCTACTTGTGGCTGAAGAGGCGTGGGGTATTGCAGCAATGTATGCACTAGGCGAGGTATTCTAGATGTAGACAAGGCGCGCCATATCAGGCTTTCGAGCCGGTGTAGCGCAGCGACCGTACACGACGGGGGGGAAAACGGCTGTCGCTTCGCTGAGTCACGTGGAGCGGTCACCAACCCGACAGCCATTAAGAGGTACCCCGTGTCATCACCTTCCACGCCATGCCGGTTGTGCCCTCTGGCCCACGTCGACAGCCGTGTGGCCGGTCGCGTCGGATTGATGATGGCTCTAGAGTAACCACTTTGAAATGGCAGAACTGTCAGAAAAGGGCTGTGGCAACTGCCTGGTTTCGCTTGGAAAGTAGCGTCCTTTGCGTAGACCGCGTCATTCAGTCCTCCAGGTGAGATTCTCGTAAGCACAAGTCATGGTCGAAAGTCTAGTATATATGTCGACGAACGGATCGTCACGAAACCATATGCTACCTAGACCGCTCGAGTCGGTGCATGGCCATGTCTATGCCCGTAGCTATAGAGAGTAATGGACGCCGTCTTCGAAATATGATGAAATTAAACTGAACATTGCGAAAATATAAGAAGAATATTGATACGCATCACAAAGTTAAGATTTTAGTTAGGAGTTTAAGAGCGAGGTGTTATCCAGGTAACAATAAGCAGCGGGCGCGATTCATCTACTTCAAGTGACACAAACAGGGTTAGCGTTTCGATGCTCCGGAGTCTAGGCTTGAACCAATACGCTTCGACCGCTGCATTAATTATGATGCACGGTGACATTTTCTGCCCTGGTGAGAGTCATTCCTTGAGAAGAAAGTTTTACCGAGGTGCCGGAATTTATGCAAGTTATGGCACTACTTCGGCACGTGGCGCATGTTCGCTGACCGTTGCAGTATGCAACGGGAACTCTGAGTAATAAGTGAACACTTCCTCGAACGGTTCAGTACAAATCGGGTGCAGTGGTGGCCAGCCACTTCTGGAGCACACTGAACAGGTAGCGAACCTTCGCTGAGGACGTGCACTAAGCTTATCCCGCCTCCTGGGGGGAGCGGACAGAAATTTCTCTGCCATCACCATTGCAGCGCGTTCGGTAACGGTAAACCGAACCGCTGGTCTTAAGACAATCATGTTGTTTCGTTATTTACCAAACTTTTTTAAGTTTAACGTGGTGTGTTTGTCCTGTTGAACCCGGACAGTGACGCAAGTTACTTGTCACGTGATCTGTCTGTTCGAGCTACTACTGGACGACATCCCCGGTCGTCTGGAAGGGGAACAGGGAGACGCTACGACTTTTTTTTTTCTTCGTGATGGAAAGTGTCATTGTTGGTAAGTCGAGCAGCCTCGTAGAGTCGTAGTCGTTTCTGTACTTACCCAGCGAGACACTGCATTGGGAAGAGCAAACTTGAGTCCTCCTATTACCTGCCAGCCTTACAAGACATAGTGAACACTGTAAAAGGTTCCGACGCGGTGATATGTCCTTGTGGAGTTCACCTTCGGGGTCATGGTTATTTCGGTTGACGGCGTGAGCGTTGGTAAAAGCAGCTGGAACCTTGGAATGGGCACTCGCACCCGGTCTTCAGATCTCGGGAAGCGGCGACGTGGATGCTTGCAAGGGGAAACAGTGATCTGGTCGAGGATGCATTTCGAAAGGCATATCCCACTTTCTGTATATACGTATACATACATATATATATATATATATGAAAAAAGTATAAATATACATATTATATTATATATATGATACTATTTACGCACACTCGTCTCTAGATGCTCCGAGACAATCGTATTAACTCACCGCGGCTCAATGATTGAGGACCCAAACTTTTACTGCACTTGTCATTCCTGTTTTTTATTGAAAAAAAATGTCATCTTGCGTTTTTCGCTGGTGGGGAGATTGGTGCATGCATCAAAAGAAGAAGAAAAAGAAAAAAGACCACGTCGTATTTTCTCTAGTAGCTAGAAGATAAACCTAATGTATACCAGCAACTAAACGCAGCAACAGCTGAAAATGGTAGTAGAGTTTTAAGGCTCTGGGGCGTTCGCGTGAGCAGAAGGTGCAGAGATAGTTGTAGTGTCAAAGATGTCTCCTTGCCTGCTATGCGTACACAAACAGCGCGTGCTTCAAGCGAAGGACCTGACTGAACCCGGATTGTGCTGTAAGAGATACCCGACAGCACCTTTTCTCCAACACCAATACTTTAATTTGCGAGAACTGACTGAACGGACAAACATTTCAAGTCCATCACGAACCATTGTGTATAACCATTGTTAAGGTTTCAGAGTTATTGCTAGTTGGTCAAGCTGACTAAACCAGCACAGAACTCGGTGATTTGTCTGTGAAGCAAGGCATGCATGTCCTACATATATTCTAGGACGCGCCGGCTCAGAATCTTTTAAAATGTAGGAGTACAACACTGAGACATTAGACACAATCTGTACCGGCAGTGACTCACAAAAATGCATCGCAAACTTACTAAATCAGCTCAGAATCATACTTGATCTCTGCAATTCACTGCTACGAACGGGATGCTATATACTCTCAAGCTCGTATTGGAACGATGGAAAATTGTAAAACCAGAGTTGCAGGCAAAAGTAACCGCTTTCGCAGTTAAATTGCCAGCAAACGAACTTCACAAAGAACTGCGATTCACATGAAGAACCAGCTCCAGGGGTAGGTTTGGCAGGCAATTCTCACCAGTGACGTTGATAGAGAATTAGACAGCAGATTAATAGTAACCAGATTAATAGAGAAATGCAGCTGCTTCCTATAACACAGCCGGGAGTAGAGGTGTGCATCACCTCAATGATGATACGTTTAGGAAACGATGTCGGGCTTAGGAATCTCCAGCAATTGTACGCTTTTCTTCGGAGGTTGACCGATGGCGGCTTTGCCACGGTCTATCCTTAAACACCACACCATACCATGAATTAATAATGGACATAGTTACTAAATCATCTCTCCACAGCATTCCATGGATGTTTCATGAGGCGAAGACAATCGTTACTCGCACTTTCTTGTTGATCACGTGCTGTCTTTCTCTCTCTCTCTCTCTTTCGATATCTCTAACTCTCTGTCTGCAGAGGCTAAGTGGTCTTGCCTTCTCTAATTTTATTTTTGTTTTCTCTGTTCGAGTCGGAGGAGACATTTACCTAACGATATGCAGTTTACACGACATATACTATACACTACTACAACCAAGTATACACGAACCAAGCAATCCCTTTCCTAGAAAACCATCCTCTTTCTCTCCCTCCCACACAGAAAACAAGAAGACTGCACACCGTGGTGGTTTCCGATAAAGCGACTCTGGGTTCAACGCTTCCTACCTTGTGTAATATAGCTTCCTCAGTGCTTCGTAGGGTAATACATAGACCCCGTACAGAGGTGCCCAAAAGAGAAAAGGGCACACAGTCGCATTTCTTGTTTTTGTTTTATGTCAGTGTGTGTTTGTGCGAGGGTGCGCGTGCAAGTATTTAAGAGCAGAGTGCCGTAGCCTCGTTTCGGCGCCATTCCGCAATCAGTGCCGTCTTTACAGGCACCCTGGGAGCAGGCCTTGTAAGGTGCTCACTACAGTAATAAAATTACTTTCAATCGATTATTTTTGGGGGTAAATTTGTAATTGTTTGATTACCTTTATAAGTAGAAAGTTGATTACTTTTTAAAGTAATAAAATTACTTGTAAGCGTTACCCGTTCTCCCTCCCCTTCCTTAATGGCGCCCTTCATTTTCACAACCTTCCTAGCAAGGAATTTCCGAATCAAGCCTCCGTCAGGGGGACGGTCTACCAAAAGTGGTGGATTTAGATGATTATCGGTGATTCTAATCCGATAACACAGAGGTTTAGGGAACCGTTTTGCACATCCGATATGGCACGAACTGCGCATGTGCTATGGCAGAAGACTTGCACATGCGCAGTGCGAACCGGAGAGCCCATCGAACCGTATCGGATGTGCACAAAACGGTTCCCTAAAACTCTTTAATGGGCGGTACGAAATATCCGTTTTCAGATCGAAACCGTTTTAAAAATCTGAAGTAACGGAAAAGTTACGTTGTTTTTTTTTCGCAAGTAGAGACAATTGTTCTTTTTTTTATAATTCATCGAGTAATCTAATTGAATACTTTTTAACCAATAATAATAGTAACCGTAGTCGATTACTTTTTTTTTTTCGAGTAATGTGTACGAGACTGCCTGGGAGTCAGAGTCAGTGTCAGGATGGCGATCTCCCGCGAAAACGTTGTATCCCCACACGACCACTTGGTCGCGCAGCAACCTGTCAACCAATCACTGCTGTTGATGACTGACTCATGATGAAGCGAACTTGCCTAAATATGCGACCCGCGCTGAGAGATCGAGTCTACCCGTCAGTGTTTTAGTGCAGATCAGATTACTGGGTTACTCAGTGGCTCTTCGGTTTTGTCATGCAGATTAGGTGTGAGTCGCTTCGAGTATGCGAGTAAACGGCTTCGTGACAGACTGCATTCTGGGGCCCTAATCTGGACACCTGGCGAAAGAAGGTTGGCGAGAAATCCGGCGGCTATGATTGGCCAGCGCCAAGGTCAAATGAGGCGTTGACCAATCATGGCCGCCAGGTTTCTTGCCGACTTTTCCGCCAAATGCCCAGCTAGGGCCCCCGATCGAAAAGGACAGGGGCTCCTGCCGGCCACAGAGGACTCGAGTTGCGTGGCGAGTCCGCTGCATCTAATTAGCGTTCCGCAGCTAATAGGATTGCAGCATTAGCCGATATAAACGCCA